TACGCTCTCCCACTGTCACACGTTGATGACGTATTTGGAAATCAATTCGGGTGGGACATGACAACACCGCCACCTGCAGGAAGATTTTCTCTCTGGTACCTTGTGTTCTGATACCTGACAACTTTTTTCTTGAGAACTGAGACCTGACAATTTTTTGTCTGATACCTGACAACCTTTTTCTTGATAACTGAGACCTGACAATTTTTTGTCTGATTCCTGACAACTTTTTTCTTGAGAACTGAGACCTGACAATTTTTTGTCTGATACCTGACAACTTTTTCTTGAGAACTGAGACCTGACAATTTTTTGTCTGACACCTGACAACTTTTTCTTGAGAACTGAGACCTGACAATTTTTTGTCTGACACCTGACAACTTTTTCTTGAGAACTGAGACCTGACATTTTTTTGTCTGATACCTGACAACTTTTTCTTGAGAACTGAGACCTGACAATTTTTTGTCTGATACCTGACAACTTTTTTCTTGAGAACTGAGACCTGACAATGTTTTGTCTGATACCTGACAACTTTTTTCTTGATAACTGAGACCTGACAATTTTTTGTCTGATACCTGACAACTTTTTTCTTGATAACTGAGACCTGACAATTTTTTGTCTGATTCCTGACAACTTTTTTCTTGATAACTGAGACCTGACAATTTTTTGTTTCTTGATAACTGATCCCTGACAATTTTTTGTCTGATACCTGACAACTTTTTTCTTGAGAACTGACGATGTCCTAAAATGTACACCGTATTGGTGACTGTGGAAAGGAAAAACTCCCTTTTAGCAGGAAGAAACCAGGCCCAGGGAGGGCCAGCCATCTGCCAAGACTGGTTTTGAGTGAGGGGAGGGAGACAGGACAAAAGGCACCATGTTGAAGAGAGCCAGAATTTAATAGCAACTCAGATTAATAGCAAAGTTTATATGCAAAGTTGTGTATAAAAATGGTGAGTGAAGAAGAAATAATCCAACAGCGCATGAGGTTAAGCCCTAACAATGCTTTATCAAAAAGGAAAGTTTTAGCTCAAGCTCAACACCTGGATGGTTTTTGATTTGCCTCGAGTCTCATAAAATAATTGCTTATTAAAGGGCAGCTGTATTCATGCAGCTTGTTGTCATGACTGTCACGGTTGAAGTAACATCTGAAACACTTTAGTCTCTGTCTGACCAAACTACCCCAATCATAAGAACCATTCAAAGCTGAGCTTCCCACCTGCAGGTCTCTACATCAGTGCTGTGCTGATTGGTCCAACAAATTGTGACTGGGACACCAGTAGCTGTGCTGCAAAGCAGGCTGATCTGGTAATCATTACCTAGCTAAACACTTCAACAAATCATATAAGAAGCCAGTTTAAAAAGTAAATGAGGAAGACACAGGAGAATAAACAGGAAGTGGAGAAGAGCTTCACTGCAGCAGACAGAGATGAACACTGGTTCAGATAAAAACTCAGTGAATCAGAGACTCTCAGTGCTTTATTGTTACACACTGTAACAAACAGTTATTAAGAACATCGGGGGGAAGATTATGATTATGATTATGATTATGAAGATCACATGAAATTCTGCAACCCGATGTTCTTATGTCAGTCAATTAATGTTTGATGTTTTATATTTATATTAATTTTACTACAAAATATAATAACTTCAAATGTGCAAGTGAAACCACAGAACATTTTAGGACTAGGCTAAGCCCCCAATTTTTGAAGAGTCTAGCAACACCCCTGCTTTTAAGCCTAATCTTAGAAGTGTGGACGGTGTCTGTGTCCCTTATTCAAAATGGAAGCTGGTTCCAAAGAAGAGGGGCCTGAAAACTGAAGGCTCTCCCTCCCATTCTACTTTTAAATACTCTCGGAACAGCAAGTAAGCCTGCAGTGCGAGAGCGAAGTGCTCTAATGGAGTGATATGGTACTACAAGGTCTGAGGGTCTGAAAGCTGAAGGAGAAATGGACAGTAATTTTAATGTAATATTAACTTTAATAATATTATCCCCTAATTGAAGGATAAGTGCACTCATGGATATTACATGTTATTTATACATCATATCTCTATTTATACTATATTGCAACCAACATTCCTACCTAACCATATTTATTATCGTAGCAACAGCACAACACAACAGTAATTTTAGTTTACTATAATAACCTTGCTTTAGAAATCACCATTTGCTTAATGCAATGTGAAGGTGATGGGCAATATTTTTTTACACCCCAGAAGAAAAATGTTTTTGCATTATGTTATTATTATCAGTTGTTTTTGTTGTTGCTCTCACTATTATTAATATTTAATTATTCATGGTAGCTACTGTCCATTATCCAAGCAGATACAAAAGCACAGTGACTGTCACAAAAAGTGGAAGTTTGACATAAAACTAAATCAATCATTAAAACACACGTTAACAAAGTTTAATTTTCAATATTTAGTAATACATCGTATACAAAAGTATTTCCAAATATTTCACCACATGTTCACTAAAATATTTCATTTGGGATCAAAGACAGGTGAGCAGATCAGCACTGTATATTTACATGTGTAGGGCCATGCCACTAAAACAAATGAAAGCAGGACATGCAGGACTAATCCCAAGACAGCAGACAAACAACATTCTGACATGCAAATTAAAACTACACATACATATAAAAATATGATAATTTTCAACCATGATGGACATTCAGGAAAGCAGGATACTCAAAGCAATTTTGAGCAGTTATTCTTGGTTCAAGCTATAATTACTGTCGTCACAAAAATAAACTGAACAATGTGTATAGTTTAAATCATAGACTTTATATGTCTAATCTCACCTGGACTTATCTGTGAAATAGTGATGTGACTAAAGGGATGAATACCCTCAGGGGAACAGATAAGATGAGTGCCTTATACTGAACATTACTCATGTTCAATAGCTATCTGCATTAATATTTCCTTTCTGTTAGGAGCTTTTCTCAGGTGCAATATCATCTTTCTGCATCAACATTCTGCATTTTCAACTTTGTTTTTTCTCAAAGGTTTAAGCATTAAAAGCCACTTAGTTAGATTTAGGTTTTAAAATCTTCTTGGATAGGTTCAGGTTGTAAGGTTGTATTTTGATTTAAAAACAGGACACTTCACCAGATTAATATTTTATGGTGAAAATGGTTTAACAATTTCATTCTCGACATTTAGTGATGTGTCATGACTTTTCCCTGGCCGTGTTTGTCAGTCACTGGTAAAAATAAATTAATAATACCACATTAGAGTCATTATGAACAGAAACAAAGGAAATTGAAGTTATTTAAAGTTAGATAGCTCCTAAACTTTCTGTGGTACTCATGTGTGTTGATAATACAGATTCTTGAACAGGCTGAAACTCCATCCTGGTTCTGTGAGGTATATTTCACAGAATTTCTCCTCCATCCTCCATCACACAATCGCTGTTTTTCTTCAGATTTTCTCCTTTTTTCGATGAACTGGTTTCCTTGTATCTCTTCTTCCTTTCTATGGGTTCTGATGAGATTATAAATATAAAAATATGAAGAGAAATCAAAGGGCTTTGATTCTCCTAATCACACTGGCTGTTCTTGAGTTCTTTTGGAAATGGTGAAAACTGAAGTCCTAAATGTTAACCAACCTAAAGATCTTCATCACTTTCAGAACCTTGTGGTTCTGTTTGAACTGGCAGTATCTGCTGATTGTTTGTCCATTGAATAGTTTCAAATTGTGATGTTGCAGCATTTTGAGATTCTTCTTCACTTATTTCTTGTAATTTCTTTGTATGATGTTGGTTGTTATTGTCTTTCCTTATTTTCAGTTCTGTCTCATCTTTCTCTCTTTCCCTTCGTGTCTCTGATTGAAGTCTCTGGTTTTCCTCTCTATGTTGTTCTGCCTCCAGTTTTTCTCCCTCTGTCTCCTTCTGTGCCATAACCTCAGAATTTAGATTTACTTCATCACTGTTTTCCTCTGCTCTCTGTTTCTCAGTGTCTGACTTTTTCGTGTCCACATTTCTCTCCATCTGTCTTTTTTCTACAAGCTGCTCTTGTGTCTCTTTTTCTCTCCATGGTTCCTGATCAATGCTCAGATGTGATGTTAAAGACTTTAGCTCTTCAATCAATTCAGTAAAGGAACTACGTTTAAATGTCTTTCCTTCTTTTACAAACACTATTGGCTCTTTAGGTTTTTCTTTAGGTGGTAATAAATCTATACAACCTTTTTCTGGCACCACCGTTTTCTCTCTTTCACTTTCAGCCCCCTCAGCTTTCATTCCTCTCCCTGTCACCTCCTCTTCTTCATGTGTTTCTTGTTTCATTTCAAACTGAGGATCTGTTTCAGTCACAATACATGTTTTTGTTCCTGAACTGTCGGTGTCCACTTCTTTGCTCTGTTTCTTTTTCTTTTGTATGTTTTTCTCCCCACTGTTGTCCACGTTACCTTCTTCCTCTCTCCCTGTCATGTCCTGTGTTTCTTGTTCTATCTTAATCAAAGACTCTTTACCAATAACAGTAGATGGATTTATTGTACTATTTTGTGGACTGTTGATGTCCTTCATTTGCTCTGTTTCTGAAACAAACTCATCTTTTTTAGTTTCTATTCCATCTTCATGTCTTTGCTCTTTTTTGCTGGCCACATCATTCTCTTCTTCTCTTCCTGTCATTAGTGGTGCACTTTCTCCATCAATCCCGGTTTCAGCTCCTTCCTCCTCGCTCTTCTTGTTTTCTGTACATATAAAGAAGCAGGAGAAACTGATGAACAGTATGAAGAAGAGTTCTTTCTACTCATTGTAAATGGATAAAACTGAAGAAACTTAAATTACACTCACAGAATTTTAAGACATTACCTAAAGAAATGAGCAGTGTGTAAGATTTATTGACATCTTGTGCTGAGTTTACAGATTACAACCACCTGTTTTTAAATGCACAGATACAGCAACAGAAACCAAATATGAGTAGACATCTCTATAATATGCTTTTGTTTTTTTGTTTATTTTTGTACGTCCACCTAACTAAAAATTATTCTTAGTTAGTGTAACATCTCATGGACAGGATGATGCACAATGATGCAACAAAAATGAGCGCATGGAGACATAAATAGTTATCTTATCTTATCTTCCCTGGAAGTCATGACTGAGAAAATACAAACACCCTGTAAAGAGCCAGTGTTTGGTTTGTTCATTCAGTGTTTTGCACTGCTCATTGTGCTCTTTTATTTATTTTTAACCCATGCATGTTGTTTATATTTTAGGCCTTCCTACCAAAAGAGGTGCCTGCTCCCTTATTAACAAGGGGCCAAAACAGCCAGTAACACCGCATGTTTGATTTAATACAGTTTTTCAACCAAATGTCTTTCCTGATGAGAGCCCAGGGATTTTTGCCTCTTCCCCAGATCAAATCAGGGATCTTTTGCTTACCAATCAAATGTCTTTTACCACAACAAGTAGGCATATTTCGGTGGAAAACACAACTTTATACCTAGACTGTGTATTGATTATACAGAAAAAAAGGGGGACAGACGACTTCTAAAAATGTTTCACATTATGCAAGGAAGCTAATTTATTTACTGCTGATGGTCATGAAAATAAATACTACAATATATTAGTATTAGGGGTGCAACGATACAACAAAATTCACGGTTTGGTTCGGTTCGATACTTTGGTGTCACGGTTCGATATTTTTTCGATACAAAAAAAATGTTCATGCCTTTTTATTAATTTGTCATTTATTAAATTTTCACGGCACATTCTGC